GATTTCACTGGATCAGTGCCAAAAAAATGAGCTTCCCTAGGCTGCAGATGTGGTCAGTAGTGCAGCCAAGACCTGAGCGCAGGATTTCTCAAAATCTAGACTTGCACTCAGCCAGACCCTCTCTCTCGATTCTTTAACTGCATTCAACTAATTATACCTCTGAGTGGGCAACATTAGCTCAGGAAGCTCTTGGAAATAAGCTCTCAGTCACTATTTTGGCGCATATAGTTCTGGCTTCAGTCCGAAGTGAAAAACAAACCTATCAGCCAAAAAATTCAGAACCAAAAAAAATGTGCACTACAGCTTCATTTTGCTCCTGGGGAAGTTTCAGGGGAGGGGAGAAGAAACACAGGATTCCTAGTTTGTGGCTAGTCCTGCTTTCATTGAAGCCAAAGGCAAAGCACCTATTGACTCTCTTTCAACGTTTATGAGATCTTTTAGTCACCACTGAATCATGTGTTTTTGCTACAACTCCAGGGAAGTCAGACTAGTCCTCATTTATGATGGGGAGACCCACTGCAAGCAGCCAAATCTGACATGACATCTCTTGTAGCTCTGGGAAAAGGACAGGGAGGCCTATAGACCCTCCCAAGGAAGCGTGTAAACACAGTGAAGAGGTAAGGCTGATACAGAGGACATGCTTTGTTGATTCGTGTTGACAATAATAGCGATGTTTTATTTCACTACTGATACAGAGGACATTATGTGCTATAGGGTGTTCTGTAGTACCTTTTTTAAGTGTAACCATGTCTTAGTATTATGGCAACACACATAGTCTTTCTCATTCAAGACAGCCCAGCAGACACAGCCAGCCTGCACAAAAGCTTACCCAGTACTACTGGAACAAACTACCAGAAGGGAACACTGAGGAAAGATGACCAAGTTGTCTGGAATTTCATTTCTGTGAGCCTTTCCCAGGACTGTGCACTTTGTTTATACAAGAGTAATGCTGAGCACTTGAACATGCCAGATCCCCAGCTGGTGTAAAATGACCTACTGCCATTGATTGCAATGGTGCTGTGCTGATTTACACTGTCTGAGGACTTGGCCCTTTATTTTCCATGGGTTTTTCCAATGCTTACTAATAAGAAATACCAGAATGGTTGTATGCAAAGTTACTTGCATTAAGATTTGCTCTCCTTTAAAGGGGAGAGAGATGTGCAGTGTGCATTTGCTTCTTTATTCTGCATCCTCACTAGGTACAGACCTAATGTCTCTCCAAGTACTCACTCCAGGGTAACACTGGCTAGCACTGCTGGCTGTACTGATTGGCACAAGTGGGCTATGCTATGGTTTCACCCATTATAAAATAAGGGGTACAGTCCACCTCTGTAAAGTTGTAGCAAGGTACCTTCTGCCCTGTGCTTCTCTGTTACCACCCAGAGGGCATTGTGCCTTTGCGAGTGCTTTGATTTGCACTCCTGGATACCTGAGGTCCAGATATGGGTCATCTTCTGGCACAGCTCAGCCCTGAGAGAAGCAAATATTAGTTCGTGGTGTACTAAAGTCTGAAAAATCCCACTTCCGCTGTCAAGACTGAATAGCAGTTTGGGATTTGATGTACATGACTCACTTGTTATATAGCTCTGCCACTGCTTAAGGGATTAGGCACTGTTCTTGATAGTAATGCCCACAGAGTGTCAGCAGTCTGAAAGGCCACAGGAGAGTTTGGGGTGGGTGGGGGGAAACTAGCCAAATACGAAGGAAATGTCTGCTGCACCACTTCAGTATAGCTGGTCTGTGTGTCTGTCTCCCTGAACATACCTGGACGGTCCCTCTGTTACTCAAGGCTGTGTATTGTAAGCAAGTATCAGCATAAATGTAAGTGAGGGCTTATGTCCACACAAAGGAATTCTCTTTGGCTGTGTTTACAGATCAATGAAACAAGAAGGAAAATGGTGGGGAAGTAATATCTGATGAAAAGAAAATGCACAATCTAAACCAGATTGCTTGTCAGTATTCCAAGAGCTGCATAAACTATTTTATTAGCGTGTAAGCAACCTTTTTTTTCTCCCATGAGAAGATTGCAAAACCTCTCTCCAAACAGATATTTTTGTTTTCCTGTTCATAAAAATGACAAAAAAGATTTTCCTCAAAGATTGTTAAAAAAACAAGCAAAGAAACTCAAAAAAGCAAACCCTAAAGCTCTCAATCTGTTTTTAGTCACTTCTTACTCAGGGAAATTTCCTAGCAAAGGCCCGACTCCTACAGCTGCTGAAGTCAATGGTAAACTCCTCTTGTTTCAATGGGTGAAGGTGAAGGCTCTGAGCCAACAGAGTTTTACCAGGACAAGGACTTCAAGGTTTGGCCCTAAATTCACATCTGTGGTGAAAACTTGTGTATTAGTTTTCAACCTGAAATTCATTTCAGTGATTACGTCTAGGGACTTAACCAAATCAAGGAGGCAGATGGCTGATTTCTCAGGCAGATCGCAGCCAGTCACCATTTTTGTGGGCTTATTGCAGCGGTCCCACCCCATACCTCTGATTGGCCAAGCAGCCCCAGTGGCCCCGCCAATGGCCCCACCCATCTGGGATTGGTTGAAGGCTGTCCGTCATGCAGCCCAGCTCCTTGCCGCTGATTGACCAAGAGAGCTGTCTGTCATGTAGACCCACCCCTCAGTCGTGTACCTCCGCTCCTCACTGCTGATTGGTGGAGAAGGGCAGGGCTACATGACAGACAATTTTCTCAGCCAATCAGAGGCAAGGGGCAGAGGCTGCAGCCATTTTGGCTTCTCCCCTTTGTCCCAGCAGCCCCTTTTCCCCTGGTGGGCAGTGTGGCTGGGCCCCAGCAGCCATGAGAACTGGTGGCTCCCTCTGGGGAGCCAGCATTTTATTTTTAGTAAGCTTTTTTTTTTTTGAGGATTCTGCAGACATTGCCCAATTTCACAGGCAATGCCCAATTTATGATTTCTGCAAAATCACGAATTGAGTAGGTCCCTAGTTATGTCTTATCAACTTTTGCAAAATGTGGCTTATAAATATTTCCATTATATTTACCTTAGTTGTAGCAATGACATAGCAACAGCATTGGTTATAATCTTTGAATCTTGTCTGAGGTGCTTTGCTTTCAAAAACCTCTAAGACCTCCTTAAAGGATAGGACCCTATACCTAGTTGTCCCGGGGCAGCACCTTTGTGTGGTGTTTGAGATAATGAAACCTGGGTAATGTCTAGTTCTGCCATGTTGCCACCCAAAGGAAAGGCATGCCCTATTCCCAAGCAAACACTGTAAAGTTATTGGCTCTTTGCTGTAGCATAACAGAAAGATATTGAGACAAATTCTGTCTTTGTACCTAGAGAAATCCCACTAAAAGCAATGGAAGTAAAACAAGCTGAATGTGATCCTTCAACTCTGCAAATGGAGAGTTGCAATGTGGGGGTGGGGATCCAGTTCTAACTCAGAAAGACAAGTGAGGATGGTCAACAACCAGATAGTAAAACCACTCAAAAAATCAGCATCCCTGTATCTTAGTTTGCCCTTTAGTGCAAATGA